ATTGGGATCACACAAAAGAATTGCGTTTCACAGTTGTCTACGAAAAGTTTTGGACTTTGGGGGAATCTCGAGAACATGCTCAGCCTTGTGGATAATCACAAGCAAGATATCTCAGAAACGTTTTTTTTTGGTACTGTATTTCAATCGCAATAGTGGCAGTAATAGTAGTGATATTTTAGCGCCGCATAGAGTAAATTGGTGTTGAGATGGCTCGTGGTCATCAAAAATTCCAATCACAACAAAGGAATTTGAAGAAACAAGAAGAATTGAGAAAGCAGAAGGGAAGTGATCAAAAAGCCGCAGCACAGAAGGCACTAACTCACAAGTGCACTGTGTGTATGGTTAGTGATTGAGCTAACTTCGGCTTTGCTTTCAATCTATTGGTATAGTCAGCCATCTGGTCTTTTTGTGTTATCGTGTTTAATACACCGTTAAAGAGTGTTTTATGTGGTGAACTCGGACCACCTGAGATTTATTTTAGCACTTCTTAGTGTTGAAGTGATCATGGCATTCCTAAAATCTGCAAGTTATCATCGTTTACTAATCTCTAAAATGTGCCTCAAGATGGTTTTCTGGGTGATGATCGATTGGTGAAATGGAATGATTTCAGGCTCAAATGCCCGATCTGAAGACGTACAAACAGCACTTTGAATCGAAACATCCTAAGGCGACAATGCCTGCTGAATTGGTTGATGTACAAGCGTAATTTTTCGTCAAGATTATGCGATGTGACCTGAATTCACATCTGGGATTTTTGGGATATCCATACTGCTGGTTCATATCAAACAACAACATGTGCACACACACACATACACACACCCACACAATACAAATGTTTCTTCTGATTTATCGTATTATTCAAGCAAGAAGGTTTTTCAACGACACCCACACACAAACCTACGTATAACTGTATGCAATAAGTCTAATATCTTGATGTTTCTATGAAAATGATTCTTTTACGTTTCACATCATCTAATTGAAAAGTTATCTATTCGTTATCTGTTTTGATTGCTTTATCCTCTACAATTGCAGTTTTTTTTTGTGTGTTCTTCTAGTTTTGTGCTGATTTTTCCCGTTGACTTCCAGTTTGAGTCCAAATGATCGCGTAATGACTGACTGATTTGGCCGATCCAACTGATTTGCATAATGCCGACTGAAATTGGACTAAGTTGAACGTTGAACGTTGACCTTTTGAAAATTTCCATTTTCANTCCATTTTGCTGTTTGTTTTATTTCGTTCATTCCTCCTCTACAATAGCGATTCTCGTGTATATTTTGTCTATTGATTAACGCTATCACTGATGTTCATAGTCTTCATGCTTGATTTCCGGTTATGTTTTGTGTGTGCCTCGGGTTCTTTTCTTCTGATTGACGGTGATGATAATAATGGTGAATATTTTCACGATTATTATTGCTATTATTATTGTTATTATTATTATTATTATCATTATTACTATTATTATTGTTATTATTATCGTTACTATAACTATTATTACAATCATTATCGTGATTGTTATGAAGGCGGTGCAGTTATTATGATAGCGATTTTTTTGTGCTTTCGCAATCGGTTCGTTTTTTTTACGAAGTGATGAATTGAGCTGACTGATATGAATTGTATTGAAGAGGGGAGAGATTTTAATAAATTATTGATTTGATTTTAATTAAATTAAGTAAACAACAATTAATTTTGTTCCGAAATAAAATTGTTTTCTCGCCGATTTTGTGTGTGTAGAAGGCTTTCTTGATGAATGATTCCGTTTGCAAAACGGTCTGCAAGATATTTTTTTTTATTTGAAAAGTTTT